CTCAAAACTCACCTCTAACCAGAATGGTCCTGGACCCCTATCTTTCAACAAACTTTACCATCCCCATTTTACAGATAAGCAAACTGAGGTGCAGAGGTTGAGCAGAAACTCACAAACTCTTCTTTTAGGAAGCTGGTTTCTCTGAGGGTGTATAAGGTGAAACTGTCAAGCTCTGTAAAATCTTAAGCCCAGCCGGGCGTGGTGGCTCACGCCTGTAATCCCAGCACTTTGGGAGGCTGAGGCGGGCGGATCACCTGAGGTCAGAAGTTCGAGACCAGCCTGATCAATATGGTGAAACCCCGTCTTTGGGAAAAAAAAAAATCTTAAGCCCAGAAGGTGGCCAGGAAAGCCACCTGAGGTTTTTCAGCCACCACTCCCCCTCCTCCTGGATTTGGGAGGAGATTTATTTACTGAGACCTGGATTTGGGAGGGGATTTATCCAAGGTCATCCACCTACCAGTGACAGAGCTGGGTCTGAAACCCAGCTTTCCTAACTTCAGGCTAGGGTGTAGGAAGGTGAGGCGAGGGTAGAAATGGGTGGTTTGTGGGGTGATCTGACTTTTCATTTCTTACACCTCCTCCGCAGGCCATCAACTCCACCCTCCTGAAGCATGAACAGACGCTGGAGACCTTCAAACTGTTGAACTCAACAAACAGGGAAGATGAAGACACCCCGCCCAACTCGCCGGTAAGAGTCCCCGCCCTCTTTCCCCTGCACTGGGACCTCTTCCAGACTTCCAGGTCCCCACCTGACCTTGAGATGATCCTTTCCTCTTCCCAGAGAGTAATGACCAAGGAGGCAATGCATAACCTCAGAAGCAATCATTCCTTGGTAGGGCCACAGAGAAGTCACTGGGGAAACCAAGGCCCAGAAAATGTACTAGAAGTGACTTGTCTTCAGTAGCACAGTAGCTAGGAGCAAAGCCAAGAGTTAAAGGCAGGTCTTCTGAATATGGCTGCTCCCCTTAACCCCACCCCACCCCACCCCATGATAATCCAAGCCTTGGAGCAGGGACAAGGGCTGGCTGGACTGGGTTGGGGAGTACCTGTCTCTGACCTGAGACCTGGCCCTCCCCACAGAATGTGGATCTTGGGAAGCGGGCACCTACTCCCATCCGCGAAAAGGAAGTCACCATGTGCATGCGCTGCCAGGAGCCCTTCAATTCTATCACCAAACGCAGGCACCACTGCAAGGCCTGCGGGCATGTGAGTGTTGGGAGGCAAGGGCAGAGCTAGGGAGGGGACAGCCTGGCAGCCCAAAGACCTGCCGCAGAGTGGGTTCCCTCCAAGCGGGGGGAGGCTGCAAGTCTGCTGTGGGAGTTGATATGCTGAAGGGAAGACCTGCTGGAATCAGGCTGCTCTTGCCCACTTGCCACCCCAGGTGGTTTGTGGGAAATGCTCCGAGTTCCGGGCCCGCCTCGTCTATGACAACAACCGCTCCAACCGTGTGTGCACTGATTGCTATGTGGCCTTGCACGGGGTGCCTGGGAGCAGTCCAGCCTGCAGCCAGCATACACCCCAGCGCCGGAGGTCCATCCTGGAGGTAAGAGCCAGGCCCCTGACTAACTCTCCCACAGTGGGCAAATGGGCTGCAACTCTACCCAGTGAGTTGAGGAGGTCCGGGCATCTGGGAAACAGTAGTGATCACGGGACCCAGGCTTGGAGTGAGTAGAATGAGGGCAAGAGTGAATGAAAGACAGTCATCTTTAATACTTAGACATTTAATCCCAGGGCAACCAATCTGCCCATGAGGCCCAGGGAGGTCATTTGCCCAAATCACACAGTAAATGAGTGGCAGAACTAGATTTTTTTAAACTAAAAAATTGTCTTTTGTTATTACAAAGTAGGATAAGTAGGACGATATAAACAAAACATAATAAAAACCCCATATCCCTTCTACCCCGAAGTTACCACTGTTACGGCTTATCCTATCTTTCTAGGCATATATGCACATACGTACATTTTGGAGGTTTTTTTTTACATTAGGGAGAATTCATACTCAATTTTGGAGTTTTTTAAAAACAAGTATAGGTATTAACACTTAAAAGAGTACTTACTCTGTGCCAGGAACTATTCTAAGCATTTTGCGTTTATTAATTCATTTAATTATCACATCAGCCCTCTCTGCTCTCCTTCCAAGTCAATGCATTTTCATCTAGAGCTGGGACTCTAAGCCAGACTTCATTAACCACCCACAGACTCCCTTAAAACCGCAATGCGAGATTACCTCTCACTGAGTGTAGGAAATGATGTATGATGAAAGACAGAAAAAAATGTGAGGCATAAATGTATGAATGGCTTGAGGTATGAAAGCCCTGACTGAAGAAAGAATGCCTGACTGGCATTTTAGATGCTCCTGCTGAGATCCGCACACTCCTTGCACTGGCCTATAGAGGCAGCAGCGGTTGCTCAAATCAGGCAGACAGACCTAGCTTTGAATCTCGGCTCTAGCTGATTCCCTGGGTAGCACTGGACAAATCACTCCTGCACCTGAGCTTGAGCGTCTTCATCTGAGACGGGCATAGGAGTCCCCATACTGAGGGAGCGTTAAAGTCAAGAGCCAGGCTACGCCCTCTGTCAACATTGATGCTTCCTGTGTCTCTGGCCACAGAAACAGGCCTCGGTGGCTGCGGAGAACAGTGTGATCTGCAGCTTCCTGCACTACATGGAGAAGGGTGGCAAAGGATGGCACAAGGCATGGTTCGTGGTCCCTGAAAATGAACCCTTGGTGCTGTATATCTACGGAGCCCCTCAGGTGTGCATCCTACTCCTTCGGGTCCTTTCAGCCACCTGGCAAAGCCAGGTTACCCCTTTACCTCCGGTCCTTGACCTCTCCTTGGCCTTGGAGGATAAGGTGAGCCCATCTCTATGAGGAACTCAGAACCCCAACCCTTGAGAGACGAAGACTGGCTATAGAGACAAGGAGTGGTTGTAGGCCAAGGTACATAGGGAAAAACAGGATGGGCTGGGCGCTGTGGCTCACGCCTGTAATCCCAGCACTTTGGGAGGCCGAGGCGGGCGGATCACGAGGTCAAGAGATCAAGACCATCCTGGCCACCATGGTGAAACCCCATCTCTACTAAAAATACAAAAATGAGCTGGGCGTGGTGGCATGCACCTATAGTACCAGCTACTCGGGAGGCTGAGGCAGGAGAATTGCTTGAACCCGGAAGGCAGAGGTTGCAGTGAGCCGAGACCATGCCACTGCACCCCAGCCTGGCACCTGGCAACAGAGCAAGACTCTGTCTCAAAAAAAAAAAAAAAAAAAAAGAGCCTGGCTTCCTGGAAGGAGTGGAGATGGGGAACTGCTAGGTCCAATTTGGAGTGGGTAAGAGTATCCAGATGGGGCCGAGCGCAGTGGCTCATGCCTGTAATCCCAGCACTCTGAGAGGCTGGATCACTTGAGGTCAAGAGTTTGAGACCAGCCTGGCCGACATGGTGAAATCCCAACTCTACTAAAAATACAAAAAGTAGCCCGGCGTGGTGGCGTGTGCCTGTAGTCCCAGCTACTCAGGAAGCTGAGGCAGGAGAATTGCTTGAACCTGGGAGGTGGAGGTTTCAGCCACATTCGTGCCTCTGTACTCCAGCCTGGGCAACAGAACAAGACTCTGTCCCCCACCCCCCCCAAAAAAAAGTATGCAGATAGGGGCAATAGCATAGACAAAGGCCTGAAAACATTATTTGGCTAAAGAGACCAGCCCAGCAGTTTTGTGGAATGCGGGGAGACAGGTATTTAAACCAGCCTACATTTTAGCCCCAGTTCTGACATGTTCCTGTTAATAACACTGGAACCACGGAAGGTTCCTGAGCAGGGGACAGAAGACACAGCATATGCAAACCAGTTAGAAGCTGGGGCAGGGGGAAAGGTCTAGCCCCACGGTGGCCCCAGCTCTGTCCCTCCTCCGCCCAGGATGTGAAAGCCCAGCGCAGCCTGCCCCTCATTGGCTTTGAGGTGGGACCACCGGAGGCAGGGGAGCGGCCTGACAGAAGGCATGTCTTCAAGATCACCCAGAGCCACCTCAGCTGGTACTTCAGCCCTGAGACAGAAGAACTACAGCGACGCTGGATGGCTGTGCTTGGTCGGGCAGGCCGTGGGGACACATTCTGCCCACGGCCCACACTGTCTGAGGACAGGGAGATGGAGGAGGCACCAGTGGCCGCTTTAGGAGCCACTGCTGAACCCCCTGAATCCCCCCAGACCCGAGATAAGACCTAGAGGGTTTGGGGCAAACTGGGAGCCCCCACCCCACACTCTAGCTGCCCATGTCTGACTGGGGGCTCCAGCCCCTTCCCTCCCAGCTCAGTCAATACTTGAACTCCCATCACGGGCACTTTCAATCCTGAATGCTGGGTCTTGGGTTTTTTAATTCATCTTTTCACAAAACGTGGGCTTTTAAAAAATATATTCCTACAGTGATGTTAATTTTTATTAATCCCTGTCCCAAGGCAGGGTGGGAGCCGTTGCTAGACTCACCTGAATTAGGTCGTTTTTTTCCCCTCATCCCCCAATACCCTACCACAGATCCTGCCTCTACCCAATTCCCACAAAGCACCAGAGGTAGGAGATTTGGATTCAAGTGCCAGCTCTGCCACTGACCCTGGGGCCCCAACCCACCCCTGCCTCCTCAGCCAGTGTCTTCACACATTCAACTCCACGTGGGGGTGGCAACTAGACCTCTCCTGCCTCCCATGGCTTACAGCTTCTACCCGGCCCCAAGGCTACCCAGTATTTTATCGTCCAGACCCATGGCAGGGCCACCGGGCAGGACAGGGGAATGGGGGGAGGACAATGGATACTTTTTTTTTTTTAAAGAAAAATACAGTTTATTTCAGGCTTACAGTAACTTTCATAGCACTGCTGTGCTCCGTTCGTCCATCTGTTTGGTCATTCAAAGTGCCAGGCTGCTAGGGTGGGCCCAGAAACCGCTCCCATGTAAACTCTGAAGCTCAGTTCCCAGAAGGCTGATTCTAAGGCCACTACTCACAGGCCAAGCCACAGATTAAACAGTAAGGTGTTATTTATTAAGATCTTAACCCTCACCCCTGAACTCAAATGGGATGGGATAAGGAGGAAAGAGGTTAGAGAAGACAGAAAACAAAGCCCAGCTCTTCCAAGCTTACCACCTAGCCAAAGTCTTTGAATTCCTGAGGGAACCCAGGGCTGGAGGCTGGGCTACAGGAAGGGAGCATTCCTGGGAGGTTGCAAGTTCTGGATGGGGGTACAGAGCTGTTGCGAGTGCGTGGGGTGGGGTAAGGGAGAGGCTCCAGAGCTATTTTCAGTCACATCTTCAACTATTCTCTCTTCCACCTGCATGTTCATCTCACCATTCCTGACCCAGCCAGCCCTGTATCACTGAGTGCTGCTGCTGCTGGTCCTCTCCTCCCCAAATCCACCTGCTGCCCACTGTCCACCAGCATCTAGCTCCTCCCCCAGCTACACCCACACTCACTCATCCCCTTCTTCTAGAAAGACACAGTACTGGGGAACCCAGCCTCGTCACTTGGATGCTAACTAAAGGCCCAAGGGAATGTGCTGGACCAGGTCCCCCCACCACCAAGACTGAGGACCCTAGGTTTTCCTTCCCTTGGAGTGAGCTAGACAGGGGAATAGTGGAGAGGGTGGGAATGGGGTAACCAGTCCATAGGTCTGCAGTCGTCGACTCAGGGCTAGCAAACAAGGGCCCAAAGCCATTTCCAGCCAACCCCGCTCATTTTTTTCTCCTGACAATGGTCCAGCCATCTTCCACTATATCCTCTTCCTTAATAGTCTGAGCCTCTGGATCGGAGGGTTCAGGCTGGGGGCAGACCCCATCGGTAGCAGCCCCATCACTCGTAGCTGTGACCTGGAGGGGAGATAGAAAAGAGAGCTGAATACACTGACAACTGGTGACCCAGGTTCTGCTCCAGCTTTTCCAGGATTGGCTGTGTGACTTGAGGAAAGTTCCCTGCCCTCTCTGGATAACTACCACCACCAACCACTACTATCCCCTTATCACTTCCTTGTGAATCTAGCTGCTCTCCCAGAAAATTGAAAACATCCGTATCCCCCCCAACCCAGGGGCACCCACTTCACCTCCATCTCTTCCACACTGTCCGCGTCATCTTCATCCTCGTCAGTCTCTCTAGCTGCCTTAAGTGCGGTGGCTGTGACCTTGCATTTTCTTTGAGTGATGCGGGAGGTCATCTCTCGCAGAGCAGCCCCATCGCCCTTCTGGAAGTCGTGGAACATGGTCTGCAGTTGCTGGCTCACCTACCAAGAAAACATTCAACCAGTTAGGGTTTTCCAGAGAATCTACTAGACAAACAGCCCGTGTCTGAAGCAACAGTGGGGAATAGGTTGGAATTTTCCAGAAGAGAATGGGGTTCTTTTCTCCCCAAGGAATTAACCAATGAAACTGCCACACATGAAGGGCTAAAGTGAGGGCCTAAAGCATCAAAACAGGACCTTACTAGTAGGGAAGACTCTAGAACTGGGCTTTGAAAGAAGGAAGATGTAAAAGGAAAGGTAATCTTATTGGGGAGCAATGGTAACCAGAGCGGGGGTGAAAATGGACCTGGACTGGCCTGACCTGCCCTTGGGATGGGGGTGAGGAACAGGCCTAGATGGGAATGATGTATAGAAAGAAATTAAAGAAGGCAGGCAGGGTTGGGGAAAGCTACACCTTTTCCTCTAGGCAACAGAGATTCACAGCCAGGAGTCTTGGCCTGAAATAGTTGGGGAGAAGACAGACTGCAGGTAGGGAGATGGCAGCTGTGCCCTGATTAGCTCACCTGGGGTAGACTCCCATCTTCCACAACTGTATCAAACTCATTGGTCATCAGCTCCCCAAGGAAGTCTTCTACCTCCTGTAGCTCCAAGTCGGCTGAGTAGAAAGGACAGGGACCTTGGGTCAAAGACCAGCCAACTTCATCACCCCTGCCCACTACTCTTCAATAACTACTTGGTGGATCTGCAACCGGGTGGATAAAGGCACAGTGAGCCTTTTATCTGCTAAAGTGCTCTGAATTTCAGGTTTTAACATTTGTTTAAGAACCACTAAATATTAATACCTCATTTCCAATCTCCTGCATCCTACCCAAGGCCTCTTCTCTTAACTCCCAGCCCTCTTTCATCTGGCCTATTCTAACCAGCCTCCTCTCCATGAGACCTTGAGCAAGCTACTTCTTTCTGAGCCTCAGTTTTCTCATCTGTAAACTGGGGCTAATGGTGGCCTCCTCAAAGGTCTGTTATGAGGAACCATCCAACACAATGCCTAGCACAGTGAAGATCCATAATCCATGTTCACTTTTATGCAAAAGCTGAAGTTTTTGAAGTGTAAAGAACCTTCACCACTGTGGCTCCACTGATAATAGAAGCCACAGACCAATGGGAGAGGTAAGAAGAAATGCACATAGTAATTCCAATGATGAAATCATAGCCTTGACACTGACATCCTACTGTGTGACTCTGGCCAAGCCCCACTTCTTCTCGGCTTCAGTTACCTATGGGCCTACGCTCTACTTTTTCTGAATTAGAGAGTAACTCAAAGTCTTCCACAAAGCTCCCTCTCCCCTCTTATGTGCTCTCCCTAGGAGAGCTCATCCACACTCTTGGTTTTCCCTACCACTCAAACAATAGCCCCTAAATCTATCTCTAACTGAGACTATTCTGTGCCTGGATGTTTCACAGGTGCCTCAGACCCTCCATATCCAAAGCCAGACTCATCACCTCACTCCTCAAACCTGCTTCTCATCCTCCAGGGTTCCTCTACTCTGTGAAAAGACACCTAATCCACCCATCAACTCAAACCAGGAACTTGCCTCTTTTTCCCTCCCTGTCTACAGCCAACCAATCTCGAAAGCCCTATTCCACCCCTTCTTTTCCATGCCTCTGCCGCTGTCCTACTTCAGGCCTACTCAGTTTCTAGACAAAAGCAGCATTCTCATCAGTCTTTCCCTCCAGTCTATGCTTCATACTGATGACTTCCTGAACTTTCTAGCCAGCAAATCCCATCCTATTTCTCACCTAGAACCTGCCCACGAACTTTTACCACCTACTGCAGTGTTTTATAGTTTGCCTTTGAGAAATATCTGTTCTGCTAGGTTTTAAGGGACACTATCCATAAAAACCTAATGAGAAACAAAAGCAAACAGGTTTTTTTTAGTGGTTCTCATTCTTATCCAAGCCTTTAATATGTTGACAAGTGTTAAGACTTTTCAGCGGGAGTCGAAGAAAAGAGTTTTTTTTTAAACAAAACCTGACTGGAGAAGCTTCTTCACGGAACATCTAACAGGACTAGTTAGCATGAATTTTGGCAAACACTGGTCTAAATGATAAAATCAAAGGCCTTCCATGTCTTAGGCTTCTCAAGGGGGCTTCCCACACCCCAGCTTCATTCTCTACCACTCCTCCACCCTCCATGCACACACACCCATACTCCAATACTGAGCTCCCCGATACTTTCCAAATATAACAAATTATATCCTCATGCCACAGAACTTGAGTGTTGCTCTCTCTGCTCCCCCCAACCCCAGTTAACTCCTGCTCATTAAGACCCAGCACAATTCCCACCTCCACTGAGAAGCTGTCTCCCCAGCCTGTTAACCCATGCACCCTGACCTCCTCTTTATCAGAAAATCTATCAATGCTGTAACTATTTACTTGTGTGGATCCCCTCACTGGAGAGTATACTTTCTTAAGAGAAATTACTCTACCTAATATCATCTCCAAAGCTGGAAAGCGAATGAAGATTATTTTGGAAAAGCATACTACGCAACAGGCCCTCTACTGGGCATCTTGCTCTCTATATCCCTCAAGACAAGCCTACAGCGTAGATCTTCGCTGTCCGAATAGCCACAGGTGGTTACTGAGCGCTTGAAATATGGCTAGGCCAAATCGAAATGTGCTAAAAGTGTAAAACACCAGATTTTGAAAACAATACTAAAAAACGTAAAATATCTCAATGTTTTATACTGATTACATGTTGAAATACTTCGTATACACTGAATTTACTAAGATTGATTTCATCTCCTTTTTGCTTTATTAAAGTGGCTACTAAAAAAATTAAATTACATGTGACTAGAATATTTCTGCTGTACAGCGCTGTGCTGGATACTTGCATACGCATTTTAGGAACTAGGAAACAGAGTCTTAGGGAAGTAAATTGCCTTGTCCAGAGTAATGCCACGAGTTAGCGGTACAGCCTGTAAAGCACTGGAATCCAGGATTCTAATTCCAAAACCTGAATTCATTTCACCTCGCCTTCAGGTATCAATCCACAACTGCTCGAGAGAAAATGCAGGTTCTGCGGGAGGGGGCTCCTCCTCGCCACACCCCCCCCCCCCCACAGGCAGGTCGCAGTGCCTCACATTCACTCACCATTGCGCATGAAGTAATCCTCCACTGCACCCCCCAGCCACTCGGCCTTCTCCTGGCTGTGCACACCCCCGAAGCCATTCTCCACAGCGATCTGCAAACACAGGCCCAAGCCCACCACGTCAACTTGGGAGAAGACTGGAGTAGCCCGGAGGCCGCTTACGCCACCCAGCAAACCCCTCTTAAGCAGCCTAGCCAAGCCTCAGGCACCTAGCCCAACCAATTCCTGTTCCGCCCCGGGCCTTAACCTTGACCCTGCCGTGGCCCCACTGACCTGCAAGGCCGGCCAGGCCTCCAGGGCCGCGCGGACCCCAGCCCGAAAAAGCGATCGCGCATCTTCTGCAGCGCCCGCCATTATCCGGCCCCAGTCCACGTGACGTCCCGGCGGCCTAATACCTCGGTAGCTCTGCCCAGGCAGAATGAGACGCAAGCCGAGCCTGAGAACACAGGATTCTCTTTTCCCGCAGACCTGGCTGAAAGACTAGAGCAAAAGAAAAATCTGTCAGAGCGATCGATGACACCACCAGAGTTACTCACTTAAATCAAAGGACACCAGACCTGAAGGACTTGTGGGGCCATGGATTCCGGATCCGTGGGTACGGCGCAGGAAATATGTGGGGAACTTATTACCAATACAGATATCGGGCCCTGGGGCAGAGGACTCGGTGACTATAGCCTTAAAAATCTTCATTTAAAAAAAGCATCCTAACATCTGTATACAACACTGCAACCAACAACAGTAAAATACAATCAGCTCTTCCTGTCGGGGGGTTCCACATCCCTGAATTCAACAAACCTCAGATGAAAAATATTCAGGAAAAAAAATTGGATCTGCACTGAACACGTGCAGACTTTTTTCTTGTCATTATCCCCCTAAACAATACAGTATAACAACTATATACGAGGTCAGGCGTGGTGGCTCACGCCTGTAATCTTAGCACTTTGGGAGGCTGAGGCGGGCGGATCAGCAGGTTAAGAGATCAAGACAATCGTCTATGACCATGCCACCCTCAATGCGCCGGATCTCGTCGGATCTCGGAAGCTAAGGGTGGTGTCTGGTTAGTACTTGGATGGGAAGAGATAGAGACCATCCTTGCCAACATGGTGAAAACCCATCTCTATTAATAATACAAAAATTAGCTGGGCGTGGTGGCGCGCGCCTGTAGTCCCAGTTACTTGGGAGACTGAGGCAGCAGAATCGCTTGAACTTGGGAGGCAGAGACAGCAGTGAGCCGAGATGGCACCACTGCACTCCAGCCTGGCAACAGAGCGAGACTTCGTCTCAAAAAACAACAAAAAGCAAAACAAAACCAAAAACCACCACAACTATATACATAGCATTTGCACTTTATTAGGCATTATAAGTAACCTGGATTTATTTTTATTTTTATTTATTTATTTATTTTTGAGTCTCACTTTGTGGCTCAGGCTGGAGTACAACGGCATGATCTCCCAATTTTAAGCTATTCTCTTGCCTCAACCTCCCGAATACCTGTGATTACAGGTGCCCACCACCACGCCAGGCTAATTTTTGTGTTTTTAGTAGAGACAGGTTTCACCATGTTGCCCAGGCTGGCCTCAAACTCCTGGGCTGAAGCAATCCACCTGCCTTGGCCTCCCAAATTGCTGAGATTATAGGTGTGAATCACCATTTGGAAATGATTTTAAGTATACAGTAGGATATTCATGGGTTATACGCAAATACTACACCGTTTTACATCAGGGGCTTGAGCATCCATGGATTTTGGTATTCTCCAGAGGTCATGGAACCAGTCTCCCACAGATACCCACGGATAACTGTACACGTTTTTCTGAAGATCACAAGAACATTCTCAAGAACAGATCATACACTAGGCCATACAACAGGCCTCAACAGATTTAACAGGATTGAACATACAAAGTATGTTGTCTGACCACAATGGAAGGAAGTTAAAAATTAGTAAAAAGAAACTTACGAAATTCACAGAGATGTGGAAATTAACACACTCCTAAATAACAAATGGATCAAAGAAAAAAAATCACAAAGAAAATTAGAAAACACTCTAAATGAATGAAAACAAAAACGTAACATAACAAAATGTATGAGATGCAGCTAAGGCAACACTTAGAGGGAAATCTTTAGCTGTAAGCATTAGTATTTAAAAAGAAGAGTCGGGTGTGGTGGCTCATGCCTGTAATCCCAGCACTTTGGAAGGTTGATTCAGGAGGATGGCTTGAGCTCAGGAGTTCGAGACCAGCCTGGGCAACATAGTGAGAACCCTATCTTCACAAAAAAGTTTAAAAATTAGGCCGGGTGGCCGGGCGCGGTGGCTCACGCCTATAATCCCAGCACTTTGGGAGGCCGAGGCGGGTGGATCACGAGGTCAAGAGATAGAGACCATCTTGGTTAACATGGTGAAACCCCATCTCTACTAAAAATACAAAAATTAGTTGGGCATGGTGACATGCGGCTGTAGTCCCAGCTACTCAGGAGGCTGAGGCAGGAGAATTGCTTGAACCCAGGAGGCGGAGATTGCGGTTGCTGAGATCGAGCCATTGCACTCCAGCCTGGGTAACAAGAGAGAAACTCCGTCTCAAAAAAAAAAAAAAATTAGGCCGGGTGTGATGGCTCATGCTTGTAATCGCAGCACTTTGGGAGGCTGACGCAGGCAGATCAGTTGAGGTCAGCAGTTTGAAACCAGACTGGCCAACATGGTGAAACCCTGTATCTACTAAAAATACAAAAATTAGCCAGGCATGGTGGCAGACACCTGTAATCCCAGCTACTTGGGAGCCTTGAGGCAGGAGAATGGCTTGAACCCGGGACGCGGAGGTTACAGTGAGCTGAGATCGCGTCGTTGCACTCCAGCCTGGGAGAAAGAGCGAGACTCTGTCTCAAAAAAAAAAAAAAAATTAAAACTTAGGCCAGGCATGGTGGCTCATACCTGTAATCCCAGCACTTTGGGAGGCCAAGGCAGGCATTTCACCTGATGTCAGGAGTTTGAGACCAACATGGCCAATATTGACAAACCCTGCCCCTACTGAAAATATAAAAATTAGCCAGGCATGGTGACACACGCCTGTAATCCAAGCTACTTGGAAGGCTGAGGCATGAGAATCACTTGAAACTGGGAGGCAGAAGTTGCAGTGAGCCAAGATCATGCCACTGCACTCCAGCCTGGGCAACACAGTGAGACTCTGTTTCAAACAAACAAACAAATAAACAAAATTAGCTGGGCATGGTGGCATATGCCTGTAGTACCAGCTACTCAGGAGGCTGAGGTGGGAGGATTGCTTGAGCCTGGGAGTTCAAGGCTGCAGTCAGCTGTGATTGTGCCACTGCACTTCAGCCTAGGCAACAAAAAAGACTTCATCTCTAAAAAAAATAACTGGCCAGGCCCGGTGGCTCACGCCTGTAATCCCAGCACTTGGGAAGGCCAAGGTGGGCAGATCACTTGAGGTCAGGAGTTTGTTTTTGTTTGTTTTTGTTTTTGTTTTTCCGAGACGGAGTTTCACTCTTGTTACCCAGGCTGGAGTACAATGGCGCAATCTCGGCTCACCGCAACCTCCGCCTCCTGGGTTCGGGCAATTCTCCTGCCTCAGCCTCCTGAGTAGCTAGGATTACAGGCACGCGCCACCGTGCCCAGCTAATTTTTTGTATTTTTAGTAGAGACGGGGTTTCACCATGTTGACCAGGATGGTCTCCATCTCTTGACCTCGTGATCCACCCACCTCGGCCTCCCAAAGTGCTGGGATTACAGGAGTGAGCCACCGCACCCGGCCAAGGTCAGGAGTTTGAGACCAGCCTGGCCAACATGGTAAAACCCTGGCGACAGAGCAAGACCCTGTCTCAAAAAAATAAAAGAATGATATCAAATTAATAACCTAAGCTTCCACCTAACGAAACCAGAAAAGAAGAGGAAAGTAATCCCAAGGCAAGCATGAGAAAGGAAATAATAAATATTAGAGCAGAAATCAATAAATTAGAGAATTGAAAAACAATAGAGAAAAGAAAAAACAGTGAAACCGAAAGTCAGGGTTTTGTTTTGTTTTGTTTTGTTGTTTTGTTTTGTTTGTTTTTGAGATGGAGTCTGGCTCTGTCACCCAGGCTGGAGTGCAGCTCACTGCAACCTCTGCCTCCCAGGTTCAAACTAGTCTCCTGCCTCAGCCTCCTGAGTCGCTGGGATTACAAGCACACACCACCACGCCCAGCTAATTTTTGTATTTTTAGTAGAGACAGGGTTTCACCATGTTGGCCAGGCTGGTCTTGAACTCCTGACCTCAAGTGATCTGCCCACTTCGGCCTTCCCAAGTGCTGGGATTACAGGGGTGAGCCACCGGGCCTGGCTAGTTATTGTTTTTTGTTGTTGTTGTTGTTGTTTTTAGAGATGAAGTCTTTTTTTGTTGCCCAGGCTGGAGTACAGTGGTGCAAACATTGCTCACTGCAGCCTCAAACTCCTGGGCTCAAGGGATCCTCTGCCTCCGCTTCAAGTAGCTGGGACTACAGGAATAGGCCACCCTGCCTGGCTACTCTGTGTGTGTGTGTGTGTGTGTGTGTGTGTGTGTGTGTGTGCGCGCGCGCGCGCGCGCGCTCGCATGTGTGTGTTGGGAGGGGGGTCTCACTTCAAGCAATCTATCTGCCTCAGCCTCTCAAAGTGCTGGGATTATAGATGTGAGCGACTGTAACTGGACAAGTCAGTTATATGAAAAGATCAACAAAATTTACAAACCCTTAGCTAGACTGAGGAAGAAATAAAAGAAAGAAGACTCAAATTACTGAAATCAGGAATGAAAGAGGATGTATAATTATTGACCAGTCAAAAAAGACCATATATTGTATGATACCATTTATATGAAATATACAGAATAGGTCAATCTACAGAGACAGAAAATAGATGAATGGTTGCCCAGGGTTTGGATGGGGAAAGGGTAGGTGTGACTTCTAAATGGCTTCAGGGCTGCTTTAGGAGGTGTTGAAAATGTTCTAAAAATTAGATGAGGTAATGGTTGCTGTTATGAGCTAATTTGTGTTCACCACCCCCCAAATTCGTGTGTAGAAACCCTAACCCCCAGTACCTCAGAATGTGACTGTACTGGGAGATAGAGCCTTTAAAAAGGTAATTCAGGTAAAATGAGGTTCTATGAGTGGGCCCTAATCCATATGACTGAGGTCCTAATAAAGAAGGGGAGATTAGAACTTGGTGCCATGGCTCAGATTGCTTTAGGCCAGGAGTTCAAGACCATCCTGGGCAACAAACAAGACCCCCATCTCTACAAAAAAAATTTTTTTTTAATTAGCTGGGTGTCATGGTTGTAGGCCCAGCTACTCGGGAGGCTGAGGAGGGAGGGTCACTTGAGTCCAGATGGTTGAGGCTGCCGTGACTCATGATTGTACCACTGCACTCCAGCATGGGCAACAGAACAAACCCTGTGAGATGAGGACACAGGCAAA